ATATATATATATATATATATAAAGCCCGAGAGCAAATATATTAATACGGAAAAGATACAAAAATGTTGTATGAGATGACCTAAAAGAAAGCCCAACTCATACAATACAACACACTCGAAACCCAGATAAAACAAAGATATATAAATGTAAAAAAACCAAAAAGCCACAAAGGGCACAAAACGTGCTAGGGCTTTAGTCCTCCTGCCTCCCTGCCTCTAGTTCTCGAAAGTGAGACGGCTAACAAATTAGTAAGGTGAGTATCATTGCTTGTAGTAACAAAAGTATCATCCATCAGATTCCTGAGCTCAAGTAGATCGTCATTCTTCTTCTTCCTCCTGGATGTGTAGACCTGTCATTCCTCATCCGATGATTGACTTATTTGATCAGTATTGATCAGTAGATTCCAGATTCCAAAGGTGGCCGGATAGATGTTGGTCGTTGCAAGTCTTGATCCCCATGGGCCTAAGTAATATTAACATCTTTCTGGACCTGATAGGGCGATAATGAAGCAGTAGAAGTATTTTCACCTGTATTATCAGTGATAGGTTCTAGGGCAGGCGGGGTCTGAAGAAACTCCCTCTCCCCCCACGATAGAAGGTTCCAAAGATGAGGGAGCTACAACTAGGGACTGAATAGTTGTCATATTACCTGCATGGATAGTGATGTCATCCGGAATATCCTTCTGATGATCAATAGTATCAAAAAATGGGAGCTGATGAGGAGGAGATGGAATCACCACCTCTAGCAGAGCAGTTTGCTTTCTTGGCCTGAGTTGAGGGTGTAGATGGTGACATTGAGAGCTGGAGTGTCCGAACATACGACAGTTCAAACAATAAGACGAAAAATGTTCAATTTCTACCTTCTGCCAAAATCCATGGTGTTGTATGTCCAGCCAGATTTCCTCAGAAGTAAGTAAATGATGTCTCTTTCAATAAATACTTACTTTAGAAGGACGGAACAAATTAAAAGTACGAATGTCCGTCTTGAGTGGCTTCCCATAAGCTGAGGCAATAGAGTACAATACTTTTTAAGAAAAATAATGAAATTTAAGACCATGGAGACGAATCCAAACCGGAATGATTGGTAGGAGTGTAAACGAGCCGAATGTATTTGACTCGTTTATATTTCAAGCTCAAAAAGAGTGTTCGGTTCGACTCGTTTGCTTAGCAAGTCGAACACGAGCCGTTCACGAACAAAGTCATTTTAACAACCCTAATCACGTCTATCAGATGTTAAAAATTGGAGCAAGATTTAAAACACCATTTGAATTTAATTTAATAATTTTTATTCTATTTTCTTCATTAATATTTTTAATTGATTATAAATCTTTGTAGCCTTGTAGTCAACTAAATTTTTAAAAAATACTACTCATCAAACATATATATATATATATATAATTGATTAGTAGTGAGCCGAACACGAGTTGTTCGCGAACAACGAGTCATTTTGACAGCGCTAATGATTAGTGGTTACAGTTGTGGGTCAAAATCCACAGACCATTTCAGAATCTTCATTGCTCTGTTATCAATCCATATTATCCTTCTAACAAATAAGCGTATGTAATCGTCTTCATTACTAATTTGATAAAGAATGTATCTCCCATATAGTCCATTCTCCAACAAGGTGCATAAGTTCAAATTCTTTGCGAATGAGCTCCATTTTGGGATGACTATATAAAAATTTCCCAACCAAATTCAGACGACAGGAGGAAACAAGTTGAGGAGCAGACGACAGGAGGAAACAAGTTGAATACCTTCAGCTTCTGAAAAAAGATGACAGACTTCCCATTATTCCTACCAGGTTTCTCGATGTCCTCCGCTCACTCAAACGACGGAGGGAAATATGACAATTTTGGTGTGCCTGAGGCGTGGACACCGGCGAGGACAGCTGCATACGATTTATCCGAAGCCATCCTCAAAGAAAGATGCGACTTTCAGAGTTCAGAGAAGAAAGCAGACGAGGGAAAAACTGGCGTGAGACGGCACAGAGGACGCAGAGAGATCGCGAGTGGTACTCGTGAGCCGCAGAACATGCGATTGGACAGGCCGCAGCGGAGCCGTAGAGCCTGGAAAATCACGAGCCAGGAAAGCTCGCGAGACCGGAAGACAGAGACAAGCTTTGTCTCAGAGCGAGGAAGCAGCGGGGGAGACGAACGAATCGAACACGAAGACGCAAGAGGAAAGAGCGACCGTAACTGTTGTTAGGGTTCGCCATCGGGCGAAACCCTAGCAAAGCCGAGCAAGGAAGACGACGCCATTGGAAATAATACGCACACGCACACGCACACGCACACGCACACGCACACGCACACGCACACGCACACGCACACACACACACACACGCACACTCTATATTAGAATCTACGCACACGCACACGCACACGCACACGCACACGCACACGCACACACACACACACACGCACACTCTTTATTAGAATCTATTGTTCTATGCTTAAAGCAACGAAATATCCACCCTTCACAACCATTTATCTACGATAATAAATTTAAGATAACTTAAGCTCATAAAAGGCTAATGTCATATGAAGCATACCTCAATAATTATTCTAAAGATCTATTGCCAATAAAGACACATGAGTCTTCTGATCGTGTAATTTTAATAATAAATAACACCACAAAATAAACCATTATAATTGAAGCTCTTAGAACAGGTGGTTCATCGCAAAATGACACAACCAAATTATTTTCATACTTAAAGCTTACAATTACCCAAATTGCCTAAATATTGTTAATGAATCAGGGAGTAAACTTGATAGGAATAAAACTTGTTTGTTAGCTAAGATCAACTTAAAATTGTCCCCTTAACAAACATTCATTTCAGCTGTACAAGGCCCTCTTACAAGACACAACTCACAACTATTAATAAAAGTTCTTCGACCCGACAACTAACCCTAACCACCATCTCGTTGAAGCTAATAATGAATTTTATTTTTAATATAAAAACTAATGTTGCAGCTATATGATAAATACTCAACACATAACAACTAATCTTAATAAAAAAATTTGTTATTAGCAAAAGGGATAATCAAATCATAGAGGCGTGCATCTAGAAAAAATCTAGAGTCAAATATTAAATTTATGGTAAAATGAGGACGAGATCTTTGGTTAGTGTCTTTTCTAAAATATGATCTAAAAATTTGATCCAAAGTGGCACTCTCTTAGAAGCGTCGAGCGTGAATTGTTTTAAGCAATACAGCTCAATTTTTAACTATTTAAAATGATGCGGAAATTTATGATGAGACAGTTATGATAAGCACAATGGCATAATAGAAGTCAGCAGCTAAACTTGCTAAAAGTATTAAAGTGTACCTTATACACATTTCGATGATTAGACACTAGGGCAAATATAATCAAAATTCAATAGATACCCATTTGGTATGGTTTTCTGTTACTTTCTTTTGCTTCCTTGAACATTATAAGTATGAGGATGTTTTAAAGTAAATGCTTTGAGAAAAATTTTAGTTGAATGAAAGTTAAAAAGCACTGCAACACTTTTCTGCTGCCACAAAATAGGCAAAAAGCATTACCAAACGGGAACATAATCAAATTACAAATCACCTCTCCTTGGTATCACTGTGTTCAGGGACTATAGGCATGGCCGGAAGTGAAGTAACCTGAATTGTTCATAATCACAGAAAAAAGTATAAATAAAATGGATAATAGCTATAAGTAGTGAAGAATGAAGGCATGAGAGAAGGAGATCTATCACTAGTTCCAGAAATAATGACTACAATTGGTGATTTATATTCATTCTACTCTTTTATTAGATTTGTTGATTATTTTCTTTCTATTCATGTTTTGGGAACATACTCATGCCCAACTTCAATATTAGTTATGTTATTTTTTCTGTTAATAGAAATATAAAGAAAAAAAACCAAGCAAACTTTAAGTATTGTGAAAAGTAATAAGAAATACGTCAAGAAAATACAAAACCAAAACGTAAAAACTAAGTTACCTTGCAAAGCAAGAAATAGAAAACTGCCTGGAGCGAAATGATTCTCTTCTTGATTAGATTATTCAAATGTAGGGTAAACCTATGTAGGGGAAACAATCTCTCTTAATTTACAAACTTACCAAATATATCTAACCTAAATAGGAAAGAAGATAATTCTTAAATAAAAAATAAAATAACATCAAATAGGAAGGGAATAAACAAATCCAGGGTTTAATAAGTTGTCCCAAACAAATCCTTCACGTTATCTTCTCATACTTCCATACTCCCCGTCGAGTTGGGTCGTAGATGTTGTAGAGACCAAACTTGATATTGAACTTTGAGAAGGTGCTTAAAGGACAAGTTTTGGTGAAGACATCAACAACATTTTGATGTGTTGGGATGTAGTTTAGCTGAATAATTCCCCCTCATTAACTTTTTCAAAGATGAAGTAACTATCAACTTCAATGCGTTTGATTCTGTCATGATGCATAGAATTCTTGACAATACTGATAGCTGTTTAATTGTCCCAAAACATTTGCATAGACCTATTGGAGGTACATTCCAATTCCTTTAACTATATTTAAATTTAGATCTCTTCACAGATTCCCAAGGCGAGTGTCTTATATTCTGATTCTACATTTTTTCTAGAAATAACAGTTTGCTTCTTACCTCTCCTTCTCACCAAATTTTGCCATACATAGGAGCAGTTGTCACGACCCGACTCGAGGCTTGAAATTAACCAAGACGAGAACTGACGGTCAGACGATGAAAATCAATTCACTATTATTCTAATTCTATCATTAATAATTTAATATTTAAATAATACATGAAAGAGTCACTAAAAAAAATTAATTAAATTAACAAGTAGAAATTTGTACCTTATCGTTTGTTGTTCTCATTTTCTATACACATTTATTCCTCTTTTATTCATCTTGTTCAAATGTTTAAAACCGAAAAATAATATTAAAACAATATAATGAATTATCTAAAGATAACACAAAAGTAATCACACTTCTGAAGTACAGTAATTTAAAGTAGAAAATTCAACATACATGCGAGTTTATAAGAAATCTTATAATATGCTACTCTTTCCTAATTTTTCTATGCAATTTGATATATGCTAAAGCATGTATGAATAAATTTTTTTCTAAATGATCATACACTAATCATTTATTATCTTAACTTTACTTTTAATTATATTCTTTACATACATTTCTGTCATTGTGAGGATCACTGTCAACAAACCTAACACGCCTCTAGCTGATATTGCCCCATTGGCTCCCGTCGGCACAACTTTCAGCGATCTACACATCGCAATTGTTTACAGTCGAAAAACCCTTACCTGCCCCTGCTCGATATTATCTAGCCGGCAAAGCGATTAGCAATGTAAACATCACAATTTTTTTGGGAGTTAAAGCTCTGATCTACTCGCCCTTAGCCGATATTATCATGTTGGCACATTAGTGACCTAACCGTCACAATTATCTGAGATGGTAGAAAACTCTACACACACGGTTACACTGACGTTCCTGTGCATATACCATTAGGGAGAGAAATTCTCCTCTAAACATACACATAAAATCATTCATTTATAAGCTATTTCATTCTTTATAACATACATTATTTTGAAATATCTTTATGCATATACTAGCATGCATATATATTCTGCTATGCAACTATTCATCATGTATAACTCTCATGTCATGCATATCTCTATCTCATGTGTATCTTTTATATCATGCATATCATTTTTCATCGTGTTTATCATGTGTATCTATCCTATCATGTCTATCTTGCAGATCGTGTATATCATACATATCATGCATCCCATACATATTTTTCATGCATATCTTGCATATTTTTCTTTGATGCATAACTTTTCTAATCTCACAATAAGAAGAATCTAACTAAAGAACAATATACATAGAGTCAAGAATACAATCTGAAATAAAGAAAATTACTAAAATTTAGAATGTAATTACTCACCTCGGTTGTCACGCTAAAATCGTAATCTTCAATAACTAATTGGAGATTGAGGTGACTTTTATGTTGAGCTTAATAACATATAAAATAAAATGTTAAACTTTAAGATTCAAATGATTTCCGCAAATTGAATTATTCTTTTTAAATTAGTACGGGATTATGTTACCTAAAATTTACGGAGCCGTCCTGCAGCGATCTTCTACACACTTGCCTAGAACTTATTGTCTCAGGCAACCAACCTAAAATCTTAAATGACTTAGGAATTTTGAATATATTAGTTCATTATGTGATTGAACTCAAAATATAATGGATTTGCTAAAACATACCTTAAACAGTCTTCTCGACAATAAGCCCTTCTCCAAAGCTGTGCAATCTTCTTCTCTCTTCTTCTTAATTTCTTTATTCCTTCTTAATACTTCTAAATTTGTGTCGGAATACCTTTACAGAAATGCATAGGCCACTTACGACAGTTCCGACACCATTTTCGAGCTTCCGACGGCTACCAGAAACGAACAATGCACGAAAAATGAGGCAAATAACAAATCGGAAGCAAGAGAAAAAAAATTAAAGTCCCGAATAGCACTAAAATCAATTTCACACTTACCAATTTTTCCCTGAAGCCCTAAATCAATGTCTGCAGCACTCAATCGTGTACCTGGCTTGCTACAAGTCGTGATTCTATTATAATGCAGTTGCGAGAGGTGAAGGAAACGAATAATGGGGAAGAGGCACATTGCTCTGCGGCTTTACTGTGTGTCTCTCGTCCCTTGCTATAGTGAAGGATCGTAGAGTCCTTCACTGTTAAGCGATCGAACAGGGAGATCGAACCGACGCTTGAGCAAAATCAAGAGGGAGAGAGAAGTATCAGGAGAAGGGAAGAGAAATTTTGAAGGCTCTGGAAGCCATTCGATCTAAACTCTCGAATAAAAAGGTGTGACAGGCGATCTGGAACAGTGAGGGGATTAGGTATAAATAATTTATAAATTCCAATTTTTATAACTCCCATTCCATTCAAAATTTATATAGTGTTTTATATAAAATTGATGGATTTAAGACTTATAATATTATAAAATTGATTCGGTTGAATTCTAAGTAATCCAAAATTTGGAGCACATTTTAGATTGCCAAAATTTTAACCCGATTTCTCAACATGGATTAATACAATAGTAGCATGTGGTGGACCTTCTGTCAATGAGTTCCCCATCCCAACTAGCATCATATAGACTTCAACCTCTCTATTCCTGTTTTTCTCAAAGATTAACCCCATAACTAGTATTCTTCTTCTTAAGAAACCTCATAATTTTGTAAACCATATTTAGATGTTCTTCATTTGAGTCATTCATGTGTTGGCTCACAATACTATCAGAGTATGTAATACCTCACATCGTAAATGATAGGTAGAAGAGTTTTCCTACCAATCATTGATATCTTCCTCCACAGAGACATTTTTTCTCCCAGCTTTGACTTATGGTTGGGATCCATTGGAATATCAACAACCTTACATCCAATCATTCTCATTTCTTCTAATAGATAGGACATATTTCCTTTGTGATATAATGATGTCTTTCTTCCATATTGTTACCTCCATACCTAAAAAATATCTCATGATTCCTAGGTCATTGATTTCAAACTCCATATCAAGCACTTTTTTAATCTTGAGAATCTCTCTTTCATCATCACTCATAAAATCGTATCATTAACATATATTATCAACGCAACAACCTTACCTTCCTGAGTGTGTTTTACGAACAAAGTATGGTCTGCTTGACTTTGAGAATTCCCATTAGTTTTGATAGTTTTAGCAAACATTTTAAATCGCACACTTGGTGATCTCTTAAGCTCATATAGAGACTTCCTGAATTTGCATACGAAGTGTTTGTTGGAATAATTCTAAAGTCTCGGTAGTATCTCTCCATACACTCCTTCTTCCAGATCCCCACTCAAGAAGGCATTTTTTATATCAAGTTGATGCAGTATTCATTCCTTGTTAACTGTTACTAAAAGAAGAATTTTGATAGTGTTAAGTTCGGTAACTAATGTGAAGGTGGCGCGGGAGCAACCAGGACCCTACACATGCTTCCGCAACTTAAGCTACAATACCACGAGACTGTCCTTTGTGATTCCATCGTCAGGACCGTACCGGTCCAGACCTAGGAGGGGTGACTGGCTGTCCTACGATGGGTTGGTGCTTCTTTCCATAGGGAATACAATCCTAGTTATCTAGGGCTTAAATATGTGATTATGGTGTTAAGGTTTTCAGTATTTCATGTTTCTCTGTCAAGACGGCCGTCGACATCCAGATTCTGCCTTCTAGGGCTATATTCAAGGATAAGTGGTGCTTTAATTATATCTCATCCGAGGTGGTGATTATCCTCAACCTTCCTACTCCTTTGCAGCCCTCCCTCCACTGTAGTCGCCGCCGTATTGCAGCAGCCAAC